ATTCTGGGAATTGAAGTCCACGGGTCTTACAACGGCCAAGGCTGAGAAACACCAATCTAGGCTGTTAAAAAAAATTGCAACCATTTTTCCCCAGTATAATATTTCTTCTTAAGAGATGATCAAGAACACACGGTAGAATATCTTCTACCCAATACAGGGCGCTCTCTTTTTGGAGTTAATCTGAAATTGCATCTCAGATTCATGCAAACTCTCCGCAATCTTTATTAGGTCTTTGTGCCCTTAACGAAAGGAAGCGGAACGGCATTGCATCCCACCTTGTTGCCTAGCGGCCGTTCCTCGCGGCGGACCGCCGCAGCCAAAGGGAGGTTACCATAGAGTTGGGAAGAGAGTGGAAGAGGGGCACGTGGTTTCCGGTGACTGGAGAGCGGGGACGAAGCCGCCTGGGACGCCGCCGGAAGTAGGGCACAGCTGTCGGGTCGCCATGCGTCTACTCCTGCTGGCTCCCCGGCGAGCGCAAACCGGCAATCGCACCACCGCCCGGAGGATCCAGTAAGTGGCCTCCACGGCCGGCTTTGGGTCCTCGAGCTGGAGGCCGCCCGGTGCCCCTTTCTGCAGCGCTAGTGACCCGTGGCTGTGGGTGGGCAGGCGGAAGTCCGTCAGGTGAAGCCGGGCAGGGTTGCAGAGGGCGGATCGGCGGCTGGAGAGAGAGCTCAGGAGGTGGAAAGGGAAGCCTGTGCCGTTGGCTGGGCTCACACGACACGCCAAACCCGGGTCAGGAGTCTAAGCAGCTGAATTCGCTTGGCGGGCTGAACCTGGTGAATGATAAGCCTGCTTTCACTCTTCCGTGGCTGAAGGTGTGGGGCGAGCCCAGTGCATCTATGGGGTGAATCAGAAACGGGGTAATCAGGTCGTGGGAATGCAACCTTTGTGTATTCATTTTGTATTCTGCGTGTTTATTTTGTATATTTTTGTGTTTATTTTGTATTTTGTTGGATTTATTTTGTACTCTGTGTGTTTATTTTGTACATTTTTGTGTTTATTTTTTATTCTGTGTGTTTATTTTGTATTTTGTGTATTTATCTGCATTTGTAGATAGATGTATGTCAGACAGTGTGTGTGTGTGTGTGTGTTTGTGTGTAGTACACCCCTGTTATAGAAGGTGTCTGGGTCTTACACGCCTGCCTGCTTGTTGATCGTATACGCACCATACAGACAAATATGTATTCATCTTAAATAAAAGTTTCATAGATGGCCGTAAATCAACAAGACTCCTGGCCATAAAACGCGTTAAAATGTATAACAAAATAACATGACCCCGTCAAACTTAATTTTTGACTGTGCAGGGTTTAGAACTGCCCTGAAGGAAGCGCTTAATGAAGGAATAAATGAATAAAATCACAGCCACAATCCCCTGCCCTAACAAACCGCAGACGGCACCCTCTGTATCCTCTGAAAGCGCTGCATCAATAATAATAATAATAATAATAATAATAATAATAATAATAATAATAATACCTTTTCAAAACTATAAATAAGCTGTCTACAATGAGCCCAACACTCTCTTAAAGGAGACAGTTTTCATTATACGGTAGATCCAAGATGTCTCCACTCAGAAGTTGGTGGGCTTGATATCAAGGTGCGTCCTCATATGGGTGGGTGTGTATTGTATCTTGCTTAGCTTCACTTTTCACCCAGGAGCTCAAGCCATCATATAAACCCTCCTTCTGACCATTTTTCCCCACAACAGCCTTGCCACGAAGGTTGGCCTGAGTTTCCATGCTGGAAGGTGAAGTCCAGGTTTATTGTCTTCAAACGTGGGTAGCGATTGCTAGCAAATGGGACTGCTTGCATTATTCAAGCTCTGAATTTCTCTAATTGCCTTTTGGAGCTGCCCTTTCTGGAGGTTATGATTGATCGATTGATTGATTACATGCCATTAAGTTGTTGTTGACTCTTAGCAACCATATAGATAGATGTTCTCCATGACAATCTATCCCCAACCTGGTTCTTCAGGTCTTCCAATGGCGTCCCCATTGCCACTGTAACTGAGTCGATCCCCCTTGCTGCTGGTCAGCCTTTTCTTCTCTTTCCTCCCACCTTGCCTAGTATTATAGACTTCTCAAGTGAGCTGAGTCTTTCCACTGACTGATTGATTGTGTGATTGATTATGTGCCTTCAAACCAGTGTTGACTTCTAGCCACCACACATGGTTTTCTCCATGATGATCTGCTCTGCCCTACCTGGTTCTTCAGCTCTTCCAATGGTGCCCCCATTGCCACTGTAACTGAGTCCATCCCCCTTGCTGTTGGTCATCCTCTTCTTCTCTTTCCTTCCACCTTTTCCAGCATCAGAGCGTTCCCCAGAGAGCTGGGTCTTCACATCATGTGTCTGAAGTAGGATAATTTGAGCCTGGTCCTTTGTCTCTTGAGTGAGAACACTGGGTGGATTTGTTCAATGATCCATCGGTTTTCTTGGCTGTTCACGGTGGTCTCAGGAGTCTTCTCCAACACCAAAGTTCAAAAGCGTCAATACTCTCCTCATCCTGCTTCTTCAAAGTCCAACTTTATGGAAGTGAGAGTGTCACAGGGATAGGGTACCACAGCTTGCACCAGAACTGGTTCTTGATATTCCTGGTGGGAAAAAGTTCCATCGGTGAATTGCATCCCGTGCTGGAAGGAAAATGTTTTGTGGAATTTCTGGAAATCTTGGAAACGTAACATATTTTCTGCATGCACTAGAAAAGGCAGCAGTGATATATTTTTTCTTCAGCTGCTAATCTCTCTCCTGACTCTCATTAGGAAATTAGTTTGAAATCATTGGTAATTTGCAAGGCTATTAATTTGAACCAGAATGTAAATCATGGTAATGGGTATAATGGAAGGAAGGAAACCTATTTTGACTTCTGTTGTGCTGGAACTTTCTGAACTTTGGGATATGGTGGTTGGAGAAAATAACACATTTATAATAATAACACACACACATTATTTTGGAGCTTCAACACCAATTATTCATACTTAAATTCAAATTGAGTTGAGACATTTGAGTTAATGGGAGCTGGCATTAACCTTTCTGTTTATTGTAAATTTATCCGTAGCTGCATCATTATAATTCAAAATGTTGTCTGACGTCGAATTGTTAGTATTCATCTTTTCCAAGGAGACCTTTTTTCACGTCCCATCAGTGGGAAAAATACCTTATACCAACTCTCTGTCTGTCTGTCTCTCTGTCTGTCTCTCTCTCATATTGTGCATGTGTGTGTGTGTATCAGCACAATTAGTGTGTGTTATCAGCACGATTAGAGCCAGGGCAAAGAGTGGACACGAGTTTCCAGAAATTTTAGGCAGAAAGAGATTCTTTTTCTCACCTGTTGTTCTTCCTGTTAACAGGAACATCTGGGACTCTCTGTGTGCAAAGCAAGTTCTCTAATGTTACTCTTTGGCATTCTCTGCAAATAAGTACAAACACGGAGCTCAGTCCATGTGAAATTTCTTATGCTTTTCTAAGGGAGAAAGCTAGTTCTAGGGCCCTGACAAGCTAGTTTTCTACAGTTGGGGGTTTCTTTTTCAGCAAGCCTTGGAGCATCCAGCCTCTCGGCCATTTGGGGAGGGGGAGTACCGCCTGCTGAATCAGATGGATTTATAAGATGTCCCAACACAGGAAGACTGTGTCTTCTTCCAGGGATATTGTTGTTCAGTCGTTAAGTCGTGTCCGACTCTTCGTGACCCCATGATATACAACTCACAGATTTTTGAAGCAGTGCAACTTCGTGGACTTATTTCCTGCAGAAGTGAATGTGAATATCCTGCCTTTTTAAAAATTATTCCATCTGCTCCTGTTTTCCGAAGGGACCACCTAGAAGCCGCTGGGCATTTGTGCATCTTGAAGGATACCTCTGATTATGAATCCCCGTTGGCAGTTTCAAATCTCATCTCTTCTGAGAAGTTCGAGGCCGCCCTGGGAATCCATCTCTTTAAAGCAGGAAGACTTCTTCAAGGTAAGATAAGGGCTCTTGGTTTTGAAAGGGGTGGGAAACGGTGTTGTTTTTGGAAAAGCACAAGCCGCTTCTCTAAAAAGCCGGCGTGCGGTTTGCAGGATTTTTGGCCGGCTTTCGGCTCATCGGGCAACGAAGCCACTCAGCTCTCGCTGGGCTAGATTTGAGATCGCTCTGCAAATCTTCTTTTTAAGCTTTGAATCCTGATTTATGGCTGAGATCCTGCTGCTGCTGCTGTCTTTATTTTTTTTTATTGGTTTGATGAAGCTTATAATCCTCTCCAGCAAAACTGAGGAGTTTTGCACCGCGCCAGACGCTGCCTATCCTGTCCTGTCAGTTGGTGTCCTGTTTTGTGGTCTAAAGCTAACAATAAAAGGACGTGCCAGGGACGTGATAAGAAAGAGGTTGAGAGCTGGCCCAGCCTTACAGAAACCAAGGCAAACCAATTTATTAGAACACAGGAGTTGAGGTGGGGGAAAATCCAGAGACAGCCCCAAAAGTGGTAAGCCAAATGAGTTAAGAAAATAGTAGTTGCTTGTACTTACGGGTGAAAGGAATGATTGCTGCAAGCCTTTGCCTTGTAGCATTTTCAAGACCCTTTTTGTCCCTCTGCATTGTCTACAACAGTGGCTCTCAAAGTGTGGTCTAGGGACCCCCCAAGACCCTTCCAAGGGGTCCGCGAAGTCAAATATTTTGTCTCAGTTTTAATTTCTAATACAGTAAATATTGATAGATATAACCCAAATAAACAAAGCTCTTTGGGGGTCATCATTTTTAAGAATGTCAAGGGGTCCTGAGAGCAAAATGTTGGAGAACTGCTGGTCTACATGGTCTTTTGGGCAGCTGACTCCTTCTGGCCTTCATCCTGCTCCTCTTCTGGTGAGGAACCTTCCAGGAAACCATGACGGTCGGGGCACAGATCCTGGCCATGGCCCCAGAGCTGCTGAAACTTGAGGGCAGTCCCCAAGCAGTTGCTGAATTGTCACCTTCAGTGCAAGAGAAGGAGAAATTATTAAATGAGGAATTGTCATGCGGCTCGTATTTGATTATCATAAATGCAAACTAAATTAAACCCAACTTAGTTTTCAGCCAGGGCCCACCTCATTTTTGGCACAGGCTCTCCCCACCTGCCGTACAGAGATCAGGTATAGCTTTGATAGGTCAGCTCTATCTGGGCTGCAATAATAGACACAGCCTCTAGATGGCAGCGGCGACCTAGATTTTTCTGTATCGCTTTGCTGCCCTCTAGTGGTTGTATAGATTTTTTGCAGGCTGGATATGGTGGCTTGACCACACATAGCCTGAATCCTTTCTATTAACTTGCAGACTTCTTTGTAACTGGAGAATAAGGCCAGGATTAAACTCAAAGCCATCTGTTGATTGTTCCTCTCCAAGAAATGCATTTAATTGGCAAGTCAACATCGGGGACTTATTGCTTTCCTGTCTGGCTGCATTTTTTCCTCAGCCGGTGCTGTCCAGAGGTGCTGGACCATCCTGACCAACATCTCCAGAAAGCAGACATTTGTGAACGGCTGGTAAAATATGTACTCCAGGTCGCGAAAGCCTTTGCCAGCTCTGACGCCCGTTCTTGATAGTTACCTGATTCATTTTTAACAAGTGAACTCGTTCTACCTAGAATTTAAAAGCAGTGTTGTTACTAATTAGCTGCCATCACTGCTGCTGTTTGTTAGCTTAATGGAGTGTAAAACTGCCCAGTTAATTGTTTCTCCCCCCCTTCTAATGTTTAAAAAGAACAAGGAGTGATGTTTATGGTCTTGCTAGCATCGCTGCTTTTGAGAAGGGAGTGTCAACAGCAGGCGGATGTTTGATTTTAAAAGAGAGTGGTGCGGCAAAGCGAATTGCCCTTCTTTGTATCAACAGAGCAGAGCTGGGATGATAGAACAGGTTTGAGTGGGTTAGATTTGGCTGGAGAAAGAGAACCTGCTTTTGCCTCTATTATTTGAAAAGAGCACTTAACATGGCTAAAAGCACCTTCTCCTTCAAAGGAAGGAATACCAAAACAGATTTAAAAAGGAAGATGGTTAATACAGGTAGTCCTCGTTTAGTGACTGCCTCATTTAGCGACCATTCACAGTTACCAGTGATGGAAAAGTGACTTTGCGACCAGTCCTCGCATTGACAACCTTCACAGGTCTGTAAAGCAAAGGAAAGCTGAAGCAAGATCGTAAGCACAGTCATGGTTTCACTTAGGGACTGCTTTGCTTAACAACTGAATGGCTGGTCCCAATTGTGGTTGCTAAATGAGGATGAGCTATAGTAGAAAGCAAGCCAAGAACCATCCTCGAAAAAAACAAAACCCAGAGGCCAAATGAAAGAAATGTATTTGCAGGCGCCTTCCAACGTGGACATTGGAGGAAGTTCTCTTTGGCGTACCCCAAGGGGAGATCTTTGGAAGGGTCTCAGCTTAGCCAACTCTAATCACAGAGCTAAGTTTTGGGGGGCCAAGTGGCCCCACCTGTGCCACTGGAGTAACTGTTGGAGGGTTAAAATTCTCTGTTTTTCAGGCAGTACAGTTCCTTTTGGAATCATCTTTGGAGGAACGGATATTAATGAAGATGCCAAAAATGATGAGAAGGCCCAGGTTATGGGGAAGGTGTTGGATGAAGCTAGGTAAAGCCATGTTCCTCCTACTCCTCCTTATTCCTAATACTTATTGTTATATCGTGGGTCAACTGAAATCTGTTTGGACCCTCATTAGACCTGGGGCAGGGGGAATCTATAGATTCAGAGCCCATTCTTTTCCAATGCACCAGTTTGGGGGAACCTCTCTTGATCAGAACGCAACTGCTAAAAAGCATCCCTTTTGCTTGGATCAAAAAGATCTGGAGTGGGATCATCCCTCTAAAAGCCAGAGTCAAGGGATCTCAACTAACTTGGGGGAAAGCACCAGCTGGCTGCACCCGTGCAAACCCAACCCCAAGAGCGGGTCTGATTAGGCTGAGCCTTAATCTCCAAAGTTTCTGAGATGGATCATTCCCACTTCCAGCTGGCAATTTCAGGAAGTGAATTATTTACATGCAGAAGGGTGGTCCTAATACTCAATTCTTTGGGTAGCACTCTGGCCCTTCGTAAAATCATCCTAGTGCCCAAAGGGAGGAAAGGCAGATGGCCGAGGCTTTTCAGAGGATGAATGAAACCCATCTGGGTTGGGTGCTTCACTGAGAATGTGGCTTTTGAGGAAATCAGACCCAGGCATTCAGAAGCATTTTCTTCTTTGTGTCTGTAGGTTTGCTGTGTCCTTCACGGAAGCCATGAAGGAAACGGCTGCGACATATTGGGTAGGTGATTCTGTTCAGGGTGGGAGTGCACAAAGTCTTTCTCTCTCTCTCTCTCTCTCTCTCTCTCTTTTTGCTCTCTTGCTTTTGAAGTTTTTTGCTTTTGAGCTTGAAGTTCTTCCTGCAAAGGTTTGGCTCACCTGGCCAAACGTGAATGTACGCCATGTTTTAGCGAAGGGGTTGTGTGAACAGGAGGAGAAGTCTTAAAAAGCAAAACAAAACTAGGTTTCATAGACCTCTTCTCCGTAAATGCACGGGGAGCATGGTCCATTTGTCCCTGAATCTGGTATTTTGGGATAACATCCTCTTGAACATGGAGGTTTGGTCTGCTGTATGAAAAGCTTGCAGGAGGCTTCATTTTTAGATTCAAATGTTGGTGAGCATAGTTAGCTACAGGTTGGGGGGTTCCTGCTGGACTTCCTCTCCATTCTGGTTCAGCACCCCCCCTGCCCCGGTCTGAGGAACAGATTGTGAGCAACAGCGAAGGATTCAGCCGTTTCCATGAGATTCTCCTTTCAATTTCCATCCTAACACAGCCATGATTTATGTCGGCTTCCCCGTCTTCTTCAGCGGAAGGGAACCCGAGGTCACGGCCCCCATTCTTTTCATGGCAGCACGGCCTTGCATGTGGGTTTTGAGCTCGGTCTCCTGCAGCGTGGTGGCTAAAGAGGTGGAAAACATCTAAAGAAGGTTTTATGGAGTAGCTGAGAAGATCAGGCCAAGTTCCCAACCTCAGGGTCTCTGTTCGTCCTTGCTCTCGGTCCCTCTGGCTTTCTTCTTCCCTCAGCAAACCACAGCCAAACTCAAATTTCTGCAAGCCTTATTTTATTCCTTTTTTATTCAATCTGTATGCCCCCTCCCCCAGCGATGCTGAGTGGCCTACCTTCCTTGGCCCACAAGCCAACACCCCAAGCTGGCAGCATTCAGATGCAGCAAATGGCAAAACCTGGAACTCAAAAGCACGCTTTTAGAAACGGGTGGGTGCGGGAGGCGTGCTAATTTTAGGCTTACCTCTACATTTGCAAACCAAGGTTAGGGTAGTTGAGAATGGGCTTTGCAATCTGACTGCAGCTAGAAACACAAGGCTGGGAAAAAAGCTAATTTAGGGTTGTGTCTGGCTTGAAAGTGGCATTTTGCAGGCCTAACGTAAAGACAGATTTGGTTCAGCATGCTCACGACCAAAGGAGAATTGCTTTTTGTGTAAATACAGTGTTTGATAGCAATCACAGACAGGGCTTTAATTTATTTTGATACCTTCAAAAAGAACTACTCTAGATAAGTACCCTCTTCTGCTATGATTCTCTGCCTTCAAAACAAATTAAGCCTCCTTTGTTGGCAACCTTCTTTTTTTTCCCTGCCTCTCGAAACGGCAGCCTTCATTAACTGTTCTTGTTTCTTTTTCTTTCTTTTGATTTTTTTTTTTTACCTCCTGTTTCTCCCTAAAGATGATTGTGGGCTTCGTCCCCCTCCCTCATTCGCCCAGAAGGACAAATAAGTCTAATAGAAGCTAGAAAATGCTGGAAAACTAGCCTATATATGTATTTTTTTAAAAAATCTGCTTTGCTAATAACCTGGTAATTGCATCAAGTTACAGAAATTGATTGCTGGTTCCCATAAATATTGATTGAGGCTCATTTGAGGCTGCTAGCTCTGATTAGCTTCTGACGTCACTGAAAAGCTTCTTTTTAAAAGGGGCAAATTTTAACCAGACATCTGGGCAGCTTTACCCTTTGCTGTGTCTTTAGACTGTTCGTCTTGTAAAGCAGCAGCGGGCTCTTTATTTCTTCCTTTCCTTGACTATATTCCTAAATGGCCTGCGTAGGATAAAAGCCTCACAGTGACATGACATGAAAAGAAAGAAAGAACCATTTTTTAAAAAGTAGAAGCGTTTGATCTGGGGGTCTTTATATTTTTTTTAATGTCAGGAATTCACATGTGCTGATTGGAAACAATGACCCTGAATGACGGTAGGATTTCAGTCTCTTGCATATCTATCTATCAATCAGTCAATCAATCGATATCATAAATTGGGGGGCCGTTACAGAAAAGGCCCTGTTCCTCTTGTCTAACTTTTTTTTATATCCCCAAATGGAGGAACTCTAAGTAGATGATACAGATCTTCTTTTTAAGAGGGGTGACTGTGGGCAAGTGATTCTGATGAATTGGGAGGCAACCAGGATGAGCCTTGCAGAGAAAACAAGCGTGTTTGTTTCTTTACCATTCTCTGCAAACATTTAGAACAGCAATGTCTGAAATAGAACTGTTTTGCAAAAGTCTCCCTTGGGTCACAGTTATTAACTTGCTTTTCCCTTGTTCTTGTTCTTGTTCTTGTTCTTGTTCTTTTTTTTTTTAATTATTATTATTTTCCAAAGCCTCAAATCAGGAACAAAATCTGTGTCCAAGCTCAAGGCAAGTATTTTCAAAATCCTCTTTCTGCCCCCGGAAAAACATTTCCTATGTCTGTCGTTTTCCCAAATGAGAAGCCACCTGCTGAAAATGATTCCGGGTTGCTTTTGGGGGGCAATTGAATACGCGACCCCTAATTTACTTTCATTTTTAGGGATCGTGAGCCTTCTGAACAGGCAGTATAACTGGACAGAATTTCTGCGGAGGGCAGGTAAAAGTGTATACAAGCATGACTTTTCCCAGCACTCTCAGGAAAAGGCTTTCCAAGCACAAATCTCTTTCTGTTTTGGAGATCTAAGGCTTCTTTTCCTGCTTGGAACGATTTGGGGCCCGATTCAAACTGGCAAAGGGCAGCCTTTTTTAACCTGGGGAAAATAGGTGGAAGTTGAAGAATTCTGTCTCAGAGCACACTAGCTTGGATCCCACGTGGATCCTTCTATAACCTCAGAGCAAAAAAATGGGAGTCTTGGTCTTAACACCTCTCACCACTCAAAGTGATAAACCAGACTTTGTTCTAGGTATGTGAACCCTGCTCTGGGATCATCATCCTAGGATCTCTTGGTTCAGACAAGACCCTGTTTTTTCCAGCAAGGACCAGTCTTCAGTTTTAAGTCAGATCCAGATGTGACATTCCACCAGGCAGAAACCAGGACAGGGACAATGAAGCAAAGCATTGGGGCTCTGCATTTAGGGACTTCCTACATTAACCAAACAATTTCTGGCTAGTTTAGCTCTTGATAGAAAGAGAAGTCAAAGCAGATTGTATAACTTCTTGTTCCCCGGCTACAGTTCCCTTTCTGGAACTGCATCCTGGAGAATCCTGGTTTACTCATCTCAACGCAATGCCAGTTTTTCCAGAATAGCGAGCTGTCCTTAATGCTAGATGGAGGAAGCGTTGCTAGCCCACACCGGCAGTAGGAAAATGACCAGGCTTGCAATAATGGAGTTAAAATAAATTGCTATTACAGCCACCCAGGGTGGCCAAATTGGGGAGAGCAATTGGATAGCTGTTTCCGAATGGATTTGTCTAGATTCTGGTTTCATAACTTCTGTTTTGTTGTTGCTCCAGTGCTGATTGTTTAGGCCATAATTTCCACTTAAGTCGTGGAGTCTCTTGTAGAGTCTCTAAATTGGAAGCTAAACAGAATTTGTTATTGCACTTGCTTCTGGTGTTTTTCTCCGTTTAAACCCAAAGGAAAGCCGTTTCAAAGAGAAGAATGCCAACTTTCTGGAGAAATAGTGCTTACTACCACCACCTCTCCTCCCACTTCTCTCCCCAAAAGCAATGTGTCTACATACCGAATAGAAACCTATTTCAGAACGGAACAAAAGGCATTCTGTGCTTTTGGAGGTATAATTTTGGGAGGGGTGAACCACTAGTGGGTGCCAGGCAGTTCCCCAACCTATATTTTCTGCCCTTCTCCTCCAATCATACCTTAAAATTTAATGACAAAGGTTTGGAGCAGTGCAGTTTTAATCAAGGGAAGGGAAGGGAAGTTTAGCAAACCACCCGAATACCTCCTAATGCTGTTATCCCAGTTTAAACAGGCTTCCTCCCCCTCTTGCCCCCCCCCCTTGCAATTCTGCCTAGAAATGCTGGGGAATTGAACCTGGAACCTTTTCTACCGAAATCCTGTTCTCTGCCAGCCAGGGAAAGTTGATTGTTTAGTGCTAAAGAGAGAATTAAGGTTCTTCATCTGAAGCGTCTGCAAAGAAGGTCATCAGGCCTCTGTTACTGAACCCTTAGCCGGTTGGGTAGAGTATCCCCGAGTCACACATCGCCCCTTGTGAATTGCGGCTTTGCCTCCGAACTGGTGCCCAACTGGGGGCGGTGGCCGGATGGAGCTTCGCGTTGTCAGCCATTCAAGGTTGAAGCAGCCTAGAAGACTTTTCCTTCCACCTGAGCGGTGGTGACAAGTAGATAATTAAACATTTCCATCGAGCGCACTGCAGATGGGCACCGGCTCACCCTTCCTTCCACCAACCTGAGCAATTTCCTGGTTTGCTGAACCCGGGGTCTCTCCTTTTGGAAGGTAGAGGAGCACTAAGAACGATACTCAGGATGCTGGAGAATCACCCTGGGTATTTTTGCAGAATGCTCCTGGGGAACGATGGGGAAACAAGCTGCAGGCTGGTTTGTCCCCTGTCTGTTATAGTAATTCATCAAAAATTTGGAGTAAATATTTTTGTTCCGTTCAGATTTTTTAATGGGGGTCGATCCCACAGCTTGTGTTTTCTGATCGGCAACGTCCTCCTTACTAGCAGCACAGAAATAGAGGGGAATAATTGCACTGAGGTCTGGATTCAGTCTTCTGAGTCTGTGTGTGTGCGTGTGTGTGTGAGAGAGAGAGAATCTGCACGCGTGTGTCCCAGAAAACTCCTTATTCTTATTAACGTGCATGTCTAATCCTCCAAGCCTTGCATGACAATACAGGGAATACCAGCAAAATCCACCATATATTAACGAGACGGAGCCAGTAAAAGGCCTTCAGCTTCGCTAGCACACAGCCTCTCAATTAGCCGCGACTCCCAGCCTTCCCTCCCAGGATGATGGGAATTGTAGTCCAAGGTACACCCCCATCCTCACGTCGCCTTGGGTGGAAGGGACACAGAGTTTTGATTCCCAAGTTTGCATTCGCAGAGAGCATTTTCCAGAGCTGGGGAGGGGGGGGGGAAACCTTTTAATACGTTTCGAGGCACTTGAACGCTCTGTTGCTACGCATTTGTGAAGGGTGGAAAAGGAAAACAGGAAAAGGTCAGCACTGAAAGACTTATTCCTTTTTTAAAAAATGCAGGTCTTCACTATTATGAATACAGTAACAACTTACCTGTAAAAAAACAACCCCCCAAAAAATCAGTGTGGGTAAAATCGGAAACGGTTTAGACCTTACTGGAATATTAAAATTGCATTAAGGGTAATTTTTGTTCTTTACGATAAAGCAAAATAGTTTTGTGGTTTATGGAGCACTGAGGATATTTTGATTATGGATCTTCTTTTCTCTTCTTTTCTCTTCAGCCCGCATTTTGCAATTTGAGCTATTTGGACTTTTTACATTTTCTTGCCTTCTGCTGTCTGGAGCTTTATAGCATAGCCTGTTCTGACTGAAGCTTAATGATGCGGTGGCAAATTCTACAGAAACGAGAGCCTTTTTAAATCTCCGGATTGGGTTTTAATTTAAAAAAAGCAATATTGCAGGATTGGACTCTATGCCCCTGGTGATATTTAGGAGAAGTAAACAGGCGGTATGGGGGGAGGTGGTTTAGGTTAACTGATCATCCCCATGTTTTATACCAATCTTGAAAGAGATCGCAAAGATTTTAAAAATGGAGTGGTGGGGGACAGGGGAAGCAACGACCGAGGCTTTTGTTTAAAAGGTCACCGCAGGGAGAGAGAGACCATAAAAAGAGAGATGATGGCCATATCTTTTCCAGTTCAGTTCCTTTTCCAAAAAAAGGAATTACTTGTAGCATATACTGAGGTTGGAGACATTAACGAAGCTTCTGGAGTCTGCATACGATGGGACCAACCTCTTTTCTAACCTCCAGATGTGCTGGGAATACAGCAGGAATTGTGGCAACAAGTTAGACTTCAGGGCAATGTGGATTGGTTAGTCTGACCCGGGCATTTGGCCCCTGTTGATGCCACCATTGTCCCATGGAAGAGATGCAAAAAACTCCATTTCTCCATTCAGCCCTTAACCCCCACTTCTGTCACCCTCATTGTACTCTTGAGGAGGCGTGACACCAACTTCATTCTTGCTTTTTATACCTTTGGTTCTCCGGGAAAGGTGGCAAAGTTCCTTGTCTTTTCTTGACCACTCAGCGTCCACTTGCATGCCCCTTTGGTGAACTTTCCATGGTGGACCAGTTCTATCTCTCTTTAAGGCAAAGATAGTTTTGAAAAGCAGCGGAAAGAGAGAGAGCGAACATGCAAAGATGATCTTTGGTAGATTAATAAGGGTGAAGATGTTGGGTTGGAATCAACAATTCGCAAATTGGCTTGTTTGCTTGGTGGGTCTCTGATGTTCTTAATTTTCTGAGCTGTTCTGATTTGTTGAAGCTTAAGAAGTTTTGACAATGCTTTGTTTGCAGGGATTCCCCAGGACGACCAGAATCTATACATCTTCCTGCTGATCTGTGGACTAAGGAGAGTCAAAGATCCCCTTTATCTGCTGGATGTTTTTTCAGGTCAAAATTTTCCCATCAAACCTCTTACAATACATTTGGCACTGACGACTCCAGAAATGGGCATCTTTCTGGATGATTGGGAGGCGTAATTTGAGGAGTCAGGGGGCCTGGAATGTGATGCAAACTAGCAGCAGCTGTTGTGTCCATCTGACCAGAGTTTGGATTTTCTAACATTTTTTGTGGTTCAGGAGAAAAGTTGAGGAGGGGGATTCCAGATGTTGCTCTTTTACAGCCCAACTTGGACCTCAGATGCTAGGGGGAAGCTAAGAGATGCCATCAGCTGTTTGAAATGTTCAAAAATGTTCTTTGTCAGTGACATAGTCCTCAACCATTCTGGGTCCAATTTTTCTGTAGGCATCTTCTCTGTCTTGTCACCTCCACAGGTCTAAAATAGCAACTTGAAACTGTATCACCCAACACAATCAAGGTACCTTCTGCCACCAGCTATTGTCAGTCAGTGTTGCCATGCTCTCATCTTACATTAATTTTGGTCTAACCAGAGCTCTCTCCTGTTTGCTTGATAGAGTGGCACCAGGAAGACTCCAGGGTACACCTGATCATTGTTGGACCTGCTGTAAGTCTCCTACCATCCTCCTCTTCCAAATAGCTTTCCTAAATATTCTTCAAGTATGCTATGCTAACATTTACTTCCATGTTTCCTTGTCCCTTAATCAATCTTGGCTAGAGATATTTCTAGCAGAGAGGGCTGCCCAGGAAAGTGCTATATCAGCTTTGCCGGGGCGTGCCCTATGGGTCTTTTTGCTCTTAATTGGCAAACAACACCTGTCTTTCTTCAAGAGCTACTTTGTTCTAAAATGACTTGGGCTTCTTTGTAAGAGACTGAATGACATCAGATTGTCATGTGTTAACTCCCTTCCCCACCCATCTCCAATGCAATGATGAATCACAATTTTGTTTCCTTTTCCCTGAGGGCCAGTTTGCACCACGGGGTAGATTAAGCTAAAGAGTTGGGCATCTTGTGATTCACCGTGGGCTGGGAATGTGCTTTCGTAGCAGGTGTAATGGCATGTGGGAAAGACCTTGGGAGGCTGGAAGAGATGCTGCCTAGGAATGGTCAGATAAGAGGGAGCATAGCCCGCAACAAGATAGTGGAAGGGGCAAGAGGCTCAGAAGGGACCTCCCTAGTTTCTCGGAGTTTGGGGGTGGGGGATTGTACTTTCAGACTTGCAAGATGCTGTTAATGTAGCCTTACAATAAAGTAGAATTAGCTTCTCTGGTCATGTTTCCTGTCTGGTCTACCTAGTAAGGCTGACAGCAGGTTGCGAGAACGAAGAGCTCACTTTAGGACATAGCCTGCTTTATTTGAGCACAGCTATTGTTTCTGACTCCTAATAACCACATAGACAGATTTTCTCCATGACAATCTGTCCCCAAGCTGGTCTTCCAACAGTGCCCTCATTGCCATTGTAACTGTGTCCATCCCCCTTGCTGCTGGTCTTCTCTTTCCTTCCACCTTTCCCAGCATTAGAGCCTTCTCCAGAGAGCTAGGTCTTTGTGTAAGGTGTCCAAACTAGGATAAATTTCCTTTTATATTACCTTGTCTTTACAAAACTACACTTTCATTTAAACGTTGCACCGTTTTCTTACCGCTCCCCGTTTTGCTACAGCGTGTTTTTTCCCCCATTAATTGTTTCTTTCCACTCTGGTTCACTGCAAGATTTGAAAGCGAACTGGTGTGGAAGAGAAGATTGGGGAAAGGTACATAATATAAATGTGTCTTGTCTTTTTTAACTTTCAATGCCTCCCCTCTTAGTTTAGATTTCAGGCAGTCCACTTGTCAATTTATATTTGCTTCACTTTCCTCCCAAATGTGTTGTTGAAACTGCCAGAGGGACCAGCCAGGACGTTGCGTATCTGGAAAACTCCTCAAATTCTCTCTCTTTTAAGTACAGTACCACTTATCGAGGGGTGTGGGTTTGTGTGTGTGCACGTTTGGTCGGGGGGGGGAGAGAAAGTTTTGAAAAAATGAATAAAAAAGCAATGTTTGAGATAGCCCCCAGATTAGAACATTATGCTAATTGCTCTGACGTGAATGTAGGCATGATGGACCTTTGTTCTGAGATGCTTTACTTTGGCTTCCTACACTGAGTAGGAGCAAATGACTTCTTCCAACTCCAGTGATTTTATTTTCTCAATCTGGATGCTGTTTTCCTGGCGTGCAATAATTTGTGAGTGATGTTCTTTTTTCTGCTGTAGGCTGATCCAACATTCGCAGAAGAAGTTGAGGAGAAAGTGAACAGGTAGGCTGTTCTAAAGCATAAGAAGATTCATTTTTCCTGAAGGAAACTCATTTATTTTCCTGAAATCCTGCACCAACCTTCTCTAATTGACTCTCCTCCGGTTATTTGGGGCCACAACCTTGAGGGTCTCAGGAACCTTCATACCACAATTCCTCCTTTATACCATGATTTCAAGAGTCGCTGAAATTTTGAGCAGCTAAAAAGTACGTTTTCTGCCCAGACACCCAGAGATTGGGAGAGAGGCTTGTGGGATCACGTGAGTTAGAAACGATCCTCTTTCTGAAGAAATGCATGTGAAGGACACTGCACACTGAGTCACATAGCAGGATCCCACATCTGCTAGCCTGCCCATCCCATAATGAAATCTCCTTTTATGCTGGGAGAGTAAAAAGCATTACAGACAGGGATCCTTAGTTTCACATTTGAGCTCAGTCAAGAGTCTCCATCGATTTGACTTTGAGGTTACAAAGAAGGCACAATACAAAATAGCAGAGTTTAGACTCCTGTGTAGGTGGGCAGAGAAGGAAAGTGTAATTAAAACTTAGTATTTTTCCCCCCAGTAATTGGGGATTGTAGTGCAGTGTAACTGGAAGGTCGCAAGCTAGCCCCAGGCTGCATTTGTAGGAAATGGGTTGGTCTTTAGGTAACCTATGGAAAGATTGTTCTTACTTTCTCCAAGAGATCAATACATTCTGGAAGTTCAACTAAGCTGACCTTGTTGAAAGAGGTTGGGTCAGTGCTACAGCTCTTGACATTTGGAGAAGCCTTGTGTCTCAGCCTCAGGAGAAACGATCTAGATTCCATGTCATGCTTCAGAACATGCCTGCTAGAATCTTTCAAGCAGGCAGCATACAAATGGGTGGATAAATAATTAAAAGAAATGAAATCACAGCTGACCTCTTAGAAGGACAAACATCTAGAAATTAAGAACGGAAGGACTCGGTAAAAGAAATGAGCAGCTTAGGGACAGTTACGTTGGACACACTGGACATTCCATAGGACACAGAATTAAAAAATCATGAAAGAAACACAAGGCTTAAAATATGGGAGAATTTGTAAGTCCCCAAACACAAGGTGCCAGATCCCTGATTACTGTTTCCTGACCTGGTTAGGGACTTCCAACATGCAGGTAGGTGGTTATGGCTAAACGAAAGGACCTGAAACCTGGAATATCATTCTCAACCTTGTGGATTTCTGTCTCCCTTCAGTCCAAGCTATCTTGGCCAATGGGGAGAGATGGTGGGAGTTACTGTCCAGTAAGATGATTAACAAGCTGAATTTACCCCTTAGGGCAGATGGGGTACATCTGTTACCAGCAATCGCCCAGGAAGATCTTCATGCCGTTGTGAAAAAGTGTTTTGCTGTCGTAAACACTTCCATTTCAGAAGGGATGTCTGCTGCAATTTTAGAGGTAATTCTTCCTTACTTCCAGGAGGGGAGAACCGTGTGAGGCATTCCTCTGCCTTTCTTGAAAACCTCTGTCCTCCTTCTGTTGATGTTCCTGAGCCCATGAAGGACAACGCTGTTTGAACTGTCCTGTGAAATGGACTGTTGTTTAAGCATTTTCACTCTCCTGTTTTGCCCAGTGACTTGAAACCAGAATATCTACACGCACACGCACATCCCGGCATACATGTTGCAGAGGGGAAAACACAAATGAAAATTCTGCCCTCTAAAAAAGGCCTCTGGATGAAGCCCACTGTGCATTTTATCTTGCAGAGTTTAATCAACCCTATTATTAAAAGTCAGTCCTCTTTTTCTCATTTTGGTTCTGATTTGGACTGGCAGTTACAAGCAGAAGATGCACATCGCCCACTGCTAATTTATCGGTCTCTTCTGCCCCCAAATTATGGAATAGCTAAATAGCTCACTTGATTGTTAATTCCTCTCTCCAGCCCATAGCAGCAGGCCTGAAATCTGAGCACCCCAGCTTTTAATTAAAGTTGATTGTAGAAGAAGCGTTTCTAGCCCTCACGAGCCCAGGGAGAAACTCCAAGTGTGGTGCCCAGAGAAAAGTTTTTAAAAACGGAGAACAAGGAAGCAAGCAACGAAGAACATAAATCTCCACTTTCTTTTCATGATCTCATAAAGGTCAGAAAGCCTCCCTGGATTACATACTAGCGAAGTTGGAAATCAAATTCAGGAAGTTTTGGACAAGATAAAACCTCTTTGGGCTCAACTCCCCTCTTCAAACAAGACTCGGAGTACGAAGGCGCCGCTGGGAAAGGGAAATAATTGAGACCGTATCGGCCGGTGCAGTTGCAGGTGAAAGTCAGTCGAAGCTTGGAAATGCATCCTGCCCCCCTCCGCTGGAGCGGCAAAGCCTTTTAATTTAGCACATTAATTGCCGGATTGTCTCCTTGAAGTTGTAGGGTTTGAATTGCAGATAACGCGGAGCAGCCAGAAATCACCCGGAGGCTGACTGAGCACAAGTCTGCTAGTTAACTCCTCTTGTTTATTTTTGCTTCCTTGGGAGATCCGGGCCCGCTCCTCCCAAAGAAGGCGAGATTAAGGGGAGACGGGAAGATGAAAAGGCACGTTTCTCGGCGGCTGCAGACCGCAGGCAAGAACACAGGCTCCAACTCTAAACTTGCATGATTTATGGGAAAGGACTCACTTTCTCAACTTTGAGATCCTAGCCAGGCATCGAACAAGTGAATTAGCATAACAGCTCACGGAGAGCAGACCGTATGTAGTGTCAGATTTCCAGATCATTAGGAGGGAGGAAGAGTTTTTCCCTCCCTCCCTTCCCAAAAAGCTCATCACGCACAGAGTAGCCGGGTTTTTCTCCACGTCTGGTTCCTCCCCCCATTTTTTTTTTTTTTAACATCTGACTTATTTTGCCCAATTTCTCTTAGACAATCTGGCTGACGTTGACAATAAAGCAGCCGCATCTCCCGAGAAAGACGAGAAAACAACTTGTGAGGGATGGGGCCGTTTTAATTAGTCCGCGTTCTCCTACCTGAGATGGCCAAGAGGAGGAAGCACCATCTGTCAAATTCCTGTTTCATTAACCAAAGCTGCCGTTGGCCGAGAAGGATATAGTGAAACTGCAGCCCGGTGGGCCTGTGTGAGAAAAAAAACACGAAATGCTGCTTTCGAACCCTTTTGATTAAAAGGAAAAAAGGGAAGGGAGAATGCAGAACGTTTCAGGGCATATTTCTCCAGCTTCTAGACCATTCACCCAGGCAGCCTTCAGCCATGGGCCTGGCTTGAACGATGGTGCAACTGTTGAAAGCAGCCGTCAGCCTGGTCTACTCTGAGTAACACTACGTGGGATAAGGTTGGGGAGCCTCTCCCAAACAGGAGAAGTAGCTCATCCCGGAATATGGTTTGAATCAGTCTTCTTCCCTGATGTGTTACGGTTCCATCTGCAAGGAGTTTCAATGTGGGACCTCTGAACGTGGTTCTGCTCCTCCTCCTCCTGAGGTCGTATTTTTCTCCTAGTTAAATCAAGGGGCAGCTCTCTGAATTATCCATTAATGGCCATTTTTAGGTGCAGACTAAAGAGATCTAAAGCAAGTTGGACAGACGCCTGAAAATGAGAGGAGGAGGAGGAGGAGGAGGAGGAGGAGGAGGAGGAGGAGAAGGAGAAGGAGAAGGA